GGGGGCGGCCCGGGGGGGGGGCGCCGGGGCCAGCGGCTCTTTGGAACACCAAAATAAAAAGCCGCTAAAAATTGGTGCATAGCTGCGACGGCTGCCGATTTCAGTTAAAACCCGAAGTTTGTTGAAAGAAGGGACGGACCCCCGCACAAAGCGAGCCTGATGAAGACGTTACTTAAGCTATTAGCTAATAAATGGAATAAAACAGGGAAATAAAAGAAATGCTAATTAGACCCTTGGTATCGCCAGAAACTGCTACAAAGGGAGATGTTCCAGCCCGGGTAACGAAGATCACTATTAATAACGATCCCCGCTATTTTTGTCTTCTGTGGGTAGCGCAGGAGAACAGGTAACCCTTTCCAGCCCCGCCGGGGCGATGCCTTGCCAAAAGGCCGCCAGCGACGGTGGGGGGCTGAAGGGCCCCCGGTCACCCCCGTGCCGCCCGGCCGCGGGGGCAGCTCCGCTGCTGCAGAGTCCCCGCTGCCACCCCGGGTCCCAGCCCCGGGGTAACCCACGAGCACCAGCCGGCTGCCGGCCCTCACGGCTGGGCTTGCCGTAGCCACGGGTGGCGGGCCGGTGGCCAGGGCTGGGCGAAGGGCCCCGAGGCCGGGGGGAGCGGCAGCGGGGTGTTATCGCCGGTGGGGGTGGAGGGGCTGATAACGAACAGCGTTATCTGTAACGCCATTAGGCAGCGGCAGCGGGGTGCTATCGGTGGGGGCGGCGGGGCTGACAAGGAACACCGTTATCTGTGACGCCATTAGGCAGCGGGAATGCGGCCGGGGGTGCGGGGAGGGGGTTACGGGGGCTCGGGGTGCCGGCCCTGGCAGCGGGGGGCTCTGCAAGGAGCCGTGGACCCCCCTTCGCTCCTCATCCCCAGGGAACAAATCCCAGGGCCTGGCAGCTCCATCCGGGTGGCGGCGCAGGGCCAAGCCCACGGCCGTCCCAGCCGGCACGGCGCAGGACGGCCCGGAGGGAGCAGTGCCCGTGGGACGCGCTCGGAGGGACGAGGCTGAGACTGCGCGGGAGCTCCCGGGTGAAGCCAAGGGCCGGGGCCCAGCAGGAGCCTCCGAGCAGCTCCTGGCGCGACGCTTTGCCAGGGAACAGTTGAGCCCGTCAAGTGTCCACCGAGTTCCTTGGCTTGGATCCGCGTGACACGTGCCGGGCTCGGCACAAAGCCCACCCCGCGGCGCGTGGCGGGGCTGCCCCACCGGGGACGGGGACAGCGGCCATCTCCCGGGAGCGGTGGCCGTCCCCACCGCGTCCCCTGGTCCCCGCGCAGCCTGCCGGGCCTGGCGGGGCACGAGCCCCCGCCCGCGGCGGGACGCGACCGCGAG